AATGTTTATTTATTTTTGAGACAGAGAGAGAGCATGAATGGGGGAGGGGCAGAGAGAGAGGGAGACACAGAATCGGAAGCAGGCTCCAGGCTCCGAGCCATCAGCCCAAAGCCCGACGCGGGGCTCGAACTCACGAACCGTGAGATCGTGACCTGAGCTGAAGTCGGACACTCAACCGACTGAGCCACCCAGGCACCCCAAGGGCCCGTTTTCTGTTTGTAGAGAGCACGTTCTCATGTGCCCTCAGACGGTAGAAGGGCCTGGGATCTTGGGGCCTCTTTGGTAGGGGCTCTATTTCCACTCATGTTCCCTCCCAAAGCCCCACCCCCCCATCACCTCAGGGACTATGATTTCAGCATAGTTGAGGGGACACAAACATTTAGACCATAGCAGAAGCCGATGGCAAATTCAAATTATAATAATTTCCGGAAGGTCTGTTCATAAAGGGCCCATTTACAAAGGTGTGGGGAGCTGTGGAGAAGCACAAGCCTAGTGTGACAACTCAGGATTAGTCCGGTGGGGGTCTAAAGGATGAGAGAGGGTGCGGTTACTGGAACCCAGAAAGAGGGGGACAGGCAGAGGCCTCCTGGGGAGGAGGAGTGACCCGGCTAGCCCATGGCCACCTCACGGGGGAGGGGAGCAAACGCACTCTCCGTGCCCGCATCTCCTGCCCACTGACAGACGGTGCAGACAGATCGGCGTCCCGGGCCAGAGCAGGGTGACGGCGTGGGGACAGAACCTCAGAAGGACAAACGGAAGCTATCTGGCATGGCACAGAATCTCCGGAACAAACAAGTGGCCTCAGGTGTGACAGTCTCCCATTGTCTGCGTGGGGATAGAGGTGAACAATGTCATACTGGGTCTTGAATTAGGGCTGAGGGTGCCAGAGCTGCCCCTCAACATCGGGCCGTACCTTGTCCTTGGTCATCTGACACCTTTTCACCAGTCTCTCCAAAGCTGTGCGTGCCCGGGACCCAGAGCCCCAGCTCTGCCAGGAACTTCCGTAACCACGGTTCCGTCCCTCCCTCTGGGTCTCAGCTTCCCTATGTGCAAAACCAGGAGGGTTAGCAAGATAACCTCTCTGTACCCTTTATGTGGCACCGACCTTCTAGAAAGGCTTGTGGCCCCCTGCCAAAGCATCCTAAGATGGGAGTCAAATGAAGAGTGTCCTTTTGGGGAAACCCAGGCCCGGGGAACAAAGGGATTGCTGGAGGTCAGTGATCATGTGGGCACGTAAACAAGGCTCCCCTCTTTGGTTGGGGCTGTCCCCTGGGCCGGGCCTGCCCTGCCCCAGCTCTCCCAAGGGGTACGGCCCACACCCGTGTTTATTTTCAATTAGTGCAGCAGCCAGCATGACGTTTCAAGATTTTTCTGGTGCTCTTGTTTGTGTGTGTGGCTGTGAACAGAAAGGTGTAAAAATGTTGGCTTCCACCAGGCTTTTAGAGGCAGCCAGTCCCTCCTGCCCTACTCGGGGATCCAGGGTGAGAGTGATATCACTGCTGAGCTTTTGAGAGTACAGGTCCACCCAAACCTCAAAGGGCTTCATTTGTAGGGAGTTTCAAAGAGAGTCAGGAGGCCGTGCCAGCAAATCTGAGCCCCTCTGACAGCCGCCCCGCATAGCCAAATCCTGCTAATTCTGGGAGGCAGGGATCTTGCCACCCACCCCCGAGGGCCCGAGTTCTATAAGGCCTGTGTCCCAGGCGCCCGAAACAAAGACCACTTCATTCGAGGGTGCAACCGGAGACTCTGGGGCTTACCGGACGCCAAGGCCAGGAAGCCTCGGCCACCACCTTGTTGGAACCACCGCCTTCTCCCCTCGAACTGAGCGACAGGCGAGAGAGAGCCCTCCGCCTTTCAAATGAGTTCTGTTGAAATTACAGTTTTCAAACCGACGGCTCTGGGTCAATCATGGCCCGCACACACGTTCTCTTTGGCTTGGGCCATGTTTGGCCCTGTAGGTTTATTTTTATTTTTATTGCTTCTTTATTTTTGAAGGAGACAGAGAGAGAGAGACAGAGCACGAGCACGAGCAGGGGAGGAGCAGAGAGAGAGGGAGACACAGAACCCGAAGCAGGCTCCAGGCTCCGTGCTGTCGGCGCAGAGCCCGACGCGGGGCTCGAACTCACGGACTGCGAGATCATGACCTGAGCCGAAGTCGGACGCTCAACCGACTGAGCCACGCGGGCGCCCCTGGGTTTATTTTTACAAAGGGAGATGCATTGCCAACAATCAAAGAAGTGAAGTTGGGGTTTCTGGTTGCTTTCAGAAACTGGAGGACCTGCCAGGCCCGGACTCACGTTCCTGCACAGGGATGCTTGGCAGGCACACAGCCTCCGGCCCCCTCTAGATAAAGCGTTTGCTCTTCAGCTCCACATGGTCCTCGCCATTTCCTGATGCCTCCCGGCCGGGACCTGAGTGTCTGTTGCCTCTGATCACTGAGCTTGTGCTGCTGTTTCTTGAATTAAGAGTTATGAGGGAAGCAAACTCTTTGGGGTCCCCCCCCCATTTCCAACCAAAGTGGAAACCTGCCCCAGGGCGAGCCGCCTGTCCTAGAGGATTGCTGATGTGGAAGTTGGTCTCCAGGACCACGTTCGGGCCCCATCCTCCCCTCTGCCACAACCGTCACCATCGTGGTCAACGTCACGTCATGTTTCTTAGTCCTCTGTCAGGCTGTGCACGCATGAGGCAGGTCCAGACGGCCCTTGATTTGCCGGAGGGGCAAAGCTTGGTGCGTAAAGACGACAGACCAAGGAGAGCAGCTGGGGCGGGCAGGGTCAGACCCGACTCGATGAAGGACTCGGCCGCCAGCAAGGGCTGCGAAAGGAAGCCGTGCAATGATACCACGTAGCCTGGGAGGAAGAGTCTCCTAGCCAGCTCCTGGCCTAAGCGGTGGCCTGGCGCCGGCTCATTTCCAGGGCTCGAGAAAATCAGGAGGCTAAGGCAGTTTGGACAGCAGTCTCAGGGCCGGCCATTGAATTCAGCCACTTCACTGGGGGACAGCGGGGCGGGGGGGGGGACGTAAGCCTCAGTTTTCCATCTAATGGGTATATGAGCATCGGTCCTGGCTCCCTCTGTGAGAACCCCTTCAGGCCAGGCCCACGTGTCCTCTCGAGGCTGGCTCTTCTCACCACACCGGCCCACTCCGGTTTCCGGGAAGCTCCCCCAGAAGACCGTGGGGGGCATACTCCAGGCAGGTGGCCCCCTTCAGGTGAGGCAAGCACTTGGCATGGTAGGAGAATCTCAGGTGACCGTGGGACAGGCCACACCTCACCTCGTGCAAGCCAGACCGTGGGTTCTGGTCACAGGTGCCGAGGAGGTCATCGTCCCAGCCGTGGTCTTGGTCCCAGACCTGCACCCTCAGAGGCCCCCCCGTGGACAGGATCACGTCCCCAAAATCCAGCTGCGTCATCCACTTGGGGTTGTTATCGTTCCACACTGTGCTCACTCTCAGCTCCTGGCCTCCAAAGAAGACCTTCAGGTAGGCGTCCGTCCTAGTGAAAGAGTCTCCCCACAGGCCTGACGCCTGGAAGTTCATGACCTCCAAGTGGGCCAGGCCCCTCTGCCGGGGACAGCAGTCCTGGTTGGTGACCGCTGAGCCGTGGCAGACACACTGGCATGGGTTGTGGGGGCTCTTCTTCTGCCCCAGGGGGCAAGGCCTGCTACAGTCCTTCCAGCGGGCCCTGTCCATCACGTACTTGCTCACGGCCTGTCGCAGGGCCTCCCGCCGCGGGTCCTGGCTCTCCAGGAGCACATGCAGAGGCTCCAGGGTGTAGTCCACCAGGCTGGGTCTGTCCAGCAGCGAGGTCACCCAGGCTGAGAACTGCTCGGGCCCGGCCTGGTCCCCAAACAGCAGGTCACTTACGGAGGTGTGGTGGCCACCAACTATTTCGGAAAAGCGCTCCTGATAGACCTGGTGGAAGGAGGTGGTTATCTTGTGGTGCTTCTTCTTCTCCTCACAGGCCTTGAATTCCGATGAAGAGTCGGCATGGCCACTTATGCTGACCTGGGCCTCGACGGCCAGGCAGTCCTCCACCTCTTTGGCCCCGAGCCCGTCCAGGGCCAGCTCACAGGTGCGCAGGGCGGTGAGGGCCGAGATCCGGCCGCCCAGCTCCATGGACCGGATGAAGTGGGTGCCGTAGTTGGAGATGAGCCGGAGGTAGTCGGCCTCGGTGGAGGTGTTGAAGTCAGGGGGCAGGTCTCTGACGACCCTCTGGAAGTTGGGGTGGAGTGGGGGAGAGTGTACCAGGTGAGAGCTAAAGGGAGAGAGAAACATCAGATGGCCAGCGGTGGTTAGTTTCCCCCTCGGCCATCCCTCAAGGTTGCCCAAGGTCACGTGGAACTAATAGAGAGCTGGAACCCAGGCGGCCTGGCTCCAAGCCCGAGCTCCGAACCAGTGAGCTGGCGGGGAAGCCCATCCTGTCTGTTGTCCCTTGGTAACCTAGGTATGCTGTATAGTTATTTCTGCGTGTCCTTTCCGAAATAAGGTTTTCTTCTTTCCTTCTTATTTTCTGGTTATAAAAGTGACGATGCTGCACCGATGATGACCCTCTAGCTTTGGAAACTAGTCCTGTGGCCTTTGTCTATCTGTCCCCTGGATTGGGTGCCTGACTACTCTGGCCACACGGGAAGATGGCACCCTGTCTCACTGTGAGAGGAATCAGGGTGGTTGGCTCGGGGCCTCCACGGAGACCATGCATTTCTGGGGTGTGGGACCTACGTCCCTGAGGGCTGGGGTTGTGACCGCTGTTGTTTGGTGCCGTGGCCCGAATTCCCAGCACAGAGCCCAACACATGACAGCCACAAATTGTGGCTGAACGTGCGAATGAGGCCCAGCAGTGAGAAGTCTCCTGCCAGGTCTCCTGCCCACAGGACAGAGGGGACTCAGTAGATCTGAATGGCACTGTGTTGGACGTCTTAGCATGGCCTTGCTTGCTTCTCCGCCTGTTCTCTCCCGGGGCTCTTCCTGTTCAGGGTCACCGGGGAGGAGGCCCGAGGGCACCGTACCAGCCAGTGTGCAGGTTCCTCCTGCTGGAAGCAGCCTCCGAGTTCCCCCCGCCACCATTCCAGGGCTCCCAGACCACTCTGAGTTTCCCACACCTTTTCCCAAGCCCCTTCTCACCACCCCCCAGCCCCCACCCCCCGCGGCTCTCACCTGTAGAAGCGACATTCCACCAAGTCAGTGCTGAAGCTGTACTGGTCGTGGAAGGTCTTCTGGGCCGCGAAGTTGGCCATGTGGGAGTGCGAGCCAGCCACGGTCACATGCATGTTGGCGCTGGGTTTGGGAGACACGTCCAGCCCCACCCGCCAGTCGTTGCGGATGTTGCTGGCTGCTTCCCTGGCCACGGCCTCGGTGGAACTGGCCTTGGCCCTGACCACTTGGCGCTGGCAGCCTGAGCCCTGGGCACGCCAGTCAGTCAGTGCCAGAGGGAGGCGTTGAAGGGCGCCCCGCTTCAGGACGTTGTGGCAGAGAGTGCAGGTGCCGTCGGGCCGCAGGAAGCTCTCTGTGTCCACCGGGAAGGAGCCCGAGCGCCTGAGACTGGTCACGTCCACGCCCTCCCCAGCCAGCATTGAGCCGGGCACAAACGGACGGTTGCGGCGGCACTCGGAGCGGGCGGCCGTGTGGCAGGGGGCTGGGGCGGGGCGGGGCAGCAGCAGGAGGAGGAGGCCCGGGAGGAGCACACAGGCACCCATGGAGCTTCGGAGACGGGGGCGTCCAGGCTTCAGGAAGCTGTGGGCAGAGGTACGGAGGGTGAACTGTCAGGCTGTATGGGATGGAGAGGGAACGCGCTATCTCCGAAGTGACTGAGTGTCCGAGCCGCGATGACCTTTGCAGACCTGGCCCATCCCCCACGTGTACGGATGGGCCCAGGATGGGAAGTGACGCGCCCGAGGTCACACAGCCAGGAGGAGCCCCTTGCTAGGGTTTCATTATTTAAGGCCTAACGGGGGATCCAGATTGATGGCTTTGTCCCCAGGACTACAGATGCTGCTTGTGGGGACGGGGCTCTGCACACAGAGGAGGGGACAGAGAGTAGATATAGCAAACTTGGGGAGGGACCTGGGACCCTAAAGAAGCCCGGATTCTGGAGAAGTGTCACGTGGGCCCCAGAACAAGCATGCTTTTCCCGCCCCACCTCTCCCACTCTCTGTCTGTCTGTCTCTCTCCCACGAGGCCCTTAATAGGATTGGATAAGAAAAAACGCACTGCCCTTATTCTCCCCACCTTCCCTTTGCGGTCCACTCTCCAGCCTCATGGGAGAGCCGCAGCCTGAATTCGGATGTGCCTATGCCCTCGCATCCCGTGTGGGGAGGCCCGGCAAGTCCCCTCTCCAGATCTCCTGGCGTCCACACCTCCTTTGGCATCGCCTTGCCCTGTGGCACTCAGGCAGTGTATGTGAGCTACCTATGTGTTGCCTCCTATCAGACAACCATAAGCTAGAAGCTTCTTCCCTGTTTTGAGGTGGCTCGGGAGCCTCACGTGGACCTGTTTGTAATCCGGGGTCTCCAGGCCCTACCCCTATCCAAACTGGACGCCTCAGAGGCCTGTCCCTTCCAGCACCTGCCAGGGACCCCAGCTCCTCTGAAACATGGGGACTCACCCACAGGAGTCACTGGGGTGGTGGGGTTCCGGCCCCAGAGAGATAAATGGGTGAAGGGCAATCTTTCAAAGGCCCTCGGGCCATCCCACTTAGGAGGCCTGTACGGTTTGTAACCTTAATCCACGGAGCTCCGTCTCCATCCTGGTCCTCCTCGTATTCTCTCCCAGGGAGCCTCTTTCCAGCTCTCTGAGCGGCTCTCCCCGACAGCATTGGACGGGGCCTTACGGACGATGCCTTGTAACCTCTCCGTTTCCTATATGAGGAAACTGAGGCCCAGAGTGGGCGTGAGGACGCTCGGCGAGTCAGTGACAGAGCATAGTCTCGCGGGTCCCGGCACTTCCTGCTCCATCAGGCTCCTCCCCGGACAGAGTGGCCTCACTCCCGCGCCTCTCCATCCCCATCCGGGGGCTCCCAGCCTCCCTGCCACCCACCTTCCTCCCTACCTGGAGTCCTGTGTTGAGACGCTCCCCCACAGACACTGTCTCCCCGACGAGAGGCTCCTGAAATGGTGGTGTCAGCCCCCGGGGAGGCTCACCACACAGCTCATCACCCAAGCCACCGTTCACATCACTTCTGCTTCCTGCCCCGCCCCTCCAGCTGTGGTCACGGGTCCCCTCTGCTCTCCCCTCCCACCAGCACCCACCTTGTGCTCATCTCCTCATCCGGCCTTTCTGACAACCCTCAGGAAATGAAGCCGCGACGGCCAGTGTCTCATCCAACAAGTGGAGTTGCCGGGGGCGTGGGGGGCCTGGGCAAATAGGTGAGGCTTGGTGTGGCGCTAACACAAGGACTTTGAGCTTCAGCTCTGGGTTGCTGAGCAGGCCGGCAGGGCCCATTCCCCTGCTTCTGATCTACGGCATCACATAAGACACGTAAGGGGCGGTACGAGGTAGGAGCTCACCGCCGAGGCTTAGGAGCCCACGGCCTGGGCCTGGGCCAGCTCAGTTATGCTCTCGCTGTGTGGCCTGGCAAGCTACTTTGGCCTCTCTGTGCCTCAGCTAGAAAGGGAGATCCTTGTAATGCAGACCCTACGGGTTGTGAACAACAGGGGGTTACTATGGGTGAAGTTCTTAGAACCGTGCCTGGCCCTGAGCAAGGGTGACCATTCCCTCCTCCCCAAACAGGGGGGTGCGAAATAAACCCCCTGGCCCACTTCCTAGCCACACCTGCATTCCAGCCCGGCCCCAGGCTCTCAACCCCAAACACTACTCCAGGAGACGGTTTCCTGTTCTCCCCTTTTGTGAGGTGAACTGGTGGCCACACCTGTCCCCAGCCCCTCCCCAGCCTTGGCCTGAGGTCGCAGCCACAGGGTGGGGGGTGGGCCGAGGGGGAGGGAGATGTGGGTGGGGCCAGAGGCTTGGGGTCTTCTTCATCCTTTGTCCTACCTGAGGTCAGGGTGAGGTGAGGTTTCCATGGGTCGAGTGACTCACAGGGCAATTTCTGGGGGCCAAAATCACACTGGTCTGAGGTGAAGACAGCTGGGTAAGTGGGGGACTGTTCTCAAGAGTTCATCTTCCAACCGTGTACGTGACAGGAACAGATAGCCGCAGGCCCCAGACCACGTGTGACACCGTGGGGTTCATCCCTTGAGTTTGTT